AAATTAGCAGGAGTTGGAGTAGAAGTAGAGGGGTTTTTTTTACCGATTCCACAGGCCCTGACTCCTATAGTCCCTAATTCAGTGGTTTTTCAGTTCTACAGCCCTGGTTTTATTCTGAGGGCTATGTTAACAGTTACATATTATTTATTACTATCTTTGATGTAATAGGACTTTTAATTAACATCTTTTAGAAGAATAATGAAAAAAGAGGAGGAACGAATTAATCCATTTTGTTTTGTTTCTTATCTGAAAATCCGTTTTGGTTTTAGAAGAAATCGGTTTTACAACAACTTTTAGGAAGGAATTATGTTCAAAAACCAAGATTTGATTATATTTAAAATTTGGATGAAAAAGGAATTTGTGAAAATACAGTCTAATACCAGAATTCTTTTCAAAGAACTAATCTATATTAATTTTTAACAAACTTTTAATAAGAGGGAAAGGAGGCAATAAAATTTGACATCTACATATCTTTATTCTACAGCATTTGCACTTCAATTTCATCCTTCCAGAAAGTTAGTATAACTATTATAAAAGGTGTGCAATCTAGCTACTTCAGTTCCTTGTTCAGAAAAGAAAAATATATACTCTGATCAATTAGTCTGGTTCATTCAGAAAAATAGAGTACTTATTTAGAACGGGAATAATAAAGGAATGATTCAAAAATATTTAAATTTAATTTGGGTAAAATAATTTAGCTACTAAACACAAATACTACAAAGAAAACCACATATTTAATAAATTAAATTGATGCATTTTGTATTTAAAATAAATGAATTACCGTATTTACTCCTGTATAAGACAATTTCGTATATAGGACGAGGTGTGAGTTTAAAGATCAAAATAAAGAAAATTAGATTTATTAATACAATTCTAATTTTATTTTATTTAATCACAAATAAAATATCAAATGCACATAAATGCACACATTGTCCTGGAAAAATTACTAACATTTTAAACTTTAAGGAAAAATCCTGTAAAATCGACAACATAATTTGTTCATGTAAAGCTGGACAATTGGAAATTTTTTACCAACTCTTAATAGTTGAATCCACTCTTTGTTTCTCCAAATTCTGACTTCTGAACAATCATCTGTTTTCACGTGGAAATGGATTAAAACTTATATCAAGTTCCCATGTTGTTTTGGAATTTCAATTTGGAATTCTATTCAAAAGCTTTGCTTTTCCTATTGCTATTTATGTTTACTCCTGACAATACACAAGAACAATTCAAATATCTCAGATAAAATAGTTTTGTTTGTAAACACAAGAGGGTGAGCATCTGGTAAAAAATGCAAATACACAGTTCACAAAAATTATTGCAAAAATGCAAAGAATCCTATGTTCGCGCATATAGGACAATCTGGGTTTTTGAAGCAGTGAAAAATGAATAAAAACCTTGTCTTATGTGTGAGTAAATACAGTATAACAAAATACTAAAACATTTTTAAAAAATAATAAATATAAAATAAATTTTGTTTCATTTAAATAAAAAACTAAATTAAATTTAAAGTACTGGAGTCCATAGCCCTGGTAGGAGTAAGGATTGAATAGGACAGGGGCCAAGACAAAGGCCTTTGTTCTCAGGGATTGTATGACAAAGACAAAACCATAATAAAACAAAAATGGACAAGCCAAAATTGATAAAAATTAATATGACAGCAGATAATTACATGCTGAAGGAAATATTGAGGAATCAGCCCACAGATATGAATGCTCAGCCTGTGAAGCCCATCAAAATTTGTGATGGAAAAATTGATGTTTTATGATATAACTGTCCAAATCATTGGATATAAATCAAACTGTCCAGGATGAACCAGAAAATACAGTGGTGTAGATAAAAAAACTTATAATTCACAACCTGAGCATGAAGTCTTCGTTAATTATGCTTTGTATTGTCCCAGAAGTTCCAATGTTGATAATTCTGTTTGTAGTGAGCAGAACCAAACTCAATGAATCCATTAGATAGGTCTTTTAGAGACAAATCTGATGACATATACAACTATACACCATTACTTGATAAATCCAGGAGAAACTTTGCAGAACACATATAAACACACACACCATGCTTGGCTACTACCTACTCTATCAGTGTCCAATACAGAACATGTGTGCAGATTGATACAGCTTAGCATGCTTCACACTAAGTTTTGTTTTTGATAAATCTGCTAATTTTGTTGTAATAGAATCAATTAAAGAGTTATCATCATTAATTGGATAATTATTATACAAACCTTGTATGTTTTATATCATATAGAAACTAAATGAGGTTTCTCTAAAATCTGAGATAACTGAAATTTTTAACTGAAAATTGAAAGCAAATCCACTTAAATCTTTTGAATTTACTTGTTTATCATAAAAAGACTTTTTAGTAATTTAATACACTATGTAAACAAGTGATTTAAAAAATATAAGTTGGATATAAGTATAGTTTTTATTTTTTCTATTTTATTTCATTCGTATTTAAAAAAATTTTTGTTTTAGTTTATTATTACTTGCAATTAACTACTACTTTTAATATACAGTAGAACCTCCATTATCCGGATTTTCGATTATCCGGATTGTTCAAAATAAACAAAAATTTTACGAATTTGCTGATTTGCACTTGGCGAATTACGACACTGTTTATGTACATGATGGAATGCATAACTTTTTTTGTTTCAACAACGTCTCACCCATCACAGTGGTCGTAAACTCTTAAATATATTTTACGTAGTAATAAAAATATAACTTGACATACGTATTTATAAATAATTTATATTCAAATTACATCATTTCTATGACCAAGGGCGGCGTAAGGCATGGACGACGTGGGCCACCGCCTATGCCTCGCGGTCCGAAGGGCCTCGCGCCTCGAAGGTTTATGCATTACTTAAAAGCCGCGAACGCGACGAAAAAATTTTACTCGTCATAAAACGATAAATAGTTTGTCAAATTTTTATTCATAAAAATGCAGTTTCAACTGCTTTTTATTTTATAAAATCCATCTTCTTGCACCACCAGAGGGCCTTTTAAACAATAGGTAGTCTGTTAGTGTTGGTCAGTAGTAGTCCAAATTTAATACGAACGTTTGTTTCTTGAAAATTTGATCACGATTTAAATACAGTATTTACTTTTAATATTACCGATATGTCATCGAAAAGAAGACATGTTGTATTATCATTAAAAGACAAGTATTTGTTTTGATTATCCGGATTTTTCCTTATCCGGACTACCTTCATCCCCAATTAGTCCGGATAATCGAGGTTCTACTGTATTACTTTTGTGTTAATGTATTTTGTATATAATGTAATCTAAATGTACAGATTTAATTTGAATAAATTGCCCTTGAATAGTAACCACATCTCATCCTTAAAGTTTGCAATTGCTCTCAAATAATAGCTAAATTTACAACACTTGACATAAATATTGACATCTTTGTAAAATGCACATTATAAATAGATCAGACATATTAAACTGTGATAACTAATTGTCAGTAACACAACTCAAATGGTAAACAAGTTATCTATCATAAAAAATATGAAATTGTTTGCTTATTTTAACCATAAATTGATTTTTTAGTTAAATATAAATACAGGTATCCCTTGCTTAACATGGAATTTGATTAATGTGTGAAATTAATTACAGTAATCTTTTTATGTATGCAACAGAAGTTTTAATTAGCATGGCTTTAACAGCCAGCTTTATTTAACATAGATGTGTTTTTCTCAGCAAATAAGATGTTGGTGATTTGCTGTTTTTGTGCTGAGGATGATTTCCAATATAGATCTGTAATTTAATTATGATAGTTGTGAAATTTAACACATTACTGCTAATGTGATATTGTATTCTTTGTTTAGAAGCTTATTTTAAAACTTTACTTCACATTTTGTGTGTGTAAAATCAAATTGTAATGTCTCTAGATAAAATGTACATTAGACATGTTATGTTTGCTTTTTAAGTTTTGTAAAGGATATACAAACAGCAAAAAATACTCATAGTATATGGGGAAGATGCTCCTAAACATTGGACATGTCAAATTTGGTTTTAAAAGTTTTGTTCAGGAAATTTTGAACTAAAGGATACAAGACATGTGGGGCACCCAAAAGCTGTTGACAAAAAGAAATTTCAAGAATAAATTGTTAAAAAGTGATGAATAACAACTTGTGAACTTTTAACAAATCTTAGTGTGTCCTTACTATACATTGTTCTGCACATCTGAAAACCATTAAATCCAATGGTTAAATCCTTACTCGTTTTAATAGAGGAAAGGAAAAGGTTTGTCAATGACCCCAAACCTCACTTATGGTCACTGGTTAGTACTTTGCTTTCAGCACCAACTTGCTTCTTTTTGCCCCCTAGACTTACTCACTACCTACAGGGAGGCAATAGTACTCACTTTAGGAACTGCTAGTGTTGCCACCTTTTCAAAATCGCTGACCCGTACGGCAGGTCAGATTTGTTCAAACAGAAGTTCCTGACGGATGCGCAATGTCATTTTACAATGTGAAGAATAACGCGCTAGATTAGCCCATAGACGTGTACAATCATATATATGGAAAAAAATCAACAGGTTGCGCGCCACATTTAAACAGACGAACATGGCAGAATTGCAGATGAGTTTCAGTGAGTGTGAGTTCTTTCACTGTTGAAATAATGTAAATTTTTAAAAATATTTGCAAGAACTTTGTTTCATCATAATTTCACAATTTCTATGAAATTCCTGGACAAAATTAATAGTTCACCCGGACAGTGAGTCAATTCCTGGATTGTCCGGGTGAAAACTGGACAGGTGGTAACACTAGGAACTGCCCTATATCTATTTTCAACATTAGAAAAAATGGACATATAAAAGTCATGAAACATTAGTATTAATAATTAGTTAGGCATCTATTTTTATTTATTAATTGAATTCTATTGGACATACTCTGCACACCCACCTTTTCTTACACTTGCAGAATTGTATTTTTAGGTATTCAGTTGATGTAAAAGAATGATATATGTGTATACTTTTCTCACAAGAATTCCCCAGAGGTTTCCACCAGATTGAGATTTGAGAAGCATGCTGGCCAATCCAGAACCTCAATATTGCTATTGTGAAACCATTGGTGTATAGTCACTAGAACAATGCTTGCATTGTCTTGCTGAAATGTAAAGGATGTTGAAGAAATGACAGGAGATGATTGACAAATGTTAGTTAATAATCTGAGTTGTTCGTTCTTGATAAATCAAAAGCTAAAGATAATTTTCTGTAGCACTATGCCCCAAAACCATCACATTATCTCCAGAAAGTTACACTTAGAAAAACATTGATATTATTTTCTTAGATCAGGCCAATATCATTCAGTCCATCCTGAAGTTAGTAGCATAATGGTTTGAGGGATGGTGGTAGTCTGATAGTTTGAGGACATTTAGTGATATGGAAAAAATTCAGCAACAAGTTGCTTAACTTTCCCAGCAACATTTGGTGGTGCCATCTGTTATCATATTTTATTAAGAAAACTTTTTATATTTTTAACTATTATAAAATAGCAAAAAAGCGTAATTTTGAGGATGGATTTTATGAAAAATCGTAAATGCTAATAACAAGTAAAATCATCATTAAGTTTGACCCTGCTGGAGGTACACACGACCCCCTTAATCTCTTCATTCCTCGACCTTTAATTACCAAAATTTAATAACATCAATTCCCTAATAAACAAACCTTCCTGCAAAATTTCAGAAATTTTTAACAAAAAGCACAGGAGTTAAGCTTGAAAAAGTGTGAATAACTTCCTGTTTCCTCTACACATCCATACATACATAAATACAGAATAAACCCAAAATTTTTTGCATTTCTTGATGTTTCAAGGTGTCCTTGAGTCCAAAAATGCAAAAAACTTGGTGATCATGTTTTGATCGATTCCCATACTTTCTCTTTGTTATAAATAACAGCTGGGAAAGTAATTACCTTTAGCTTTTGTTTACTTATTTTTTTTATCTTAGTAACAATTGTTGTAAAATTATATCAATAATTTTTATATTACCATAAAAAATATATTAAATTTATATTGAATATATGTTTAATAATATAAAAATTTAATTTTTTAGCTGAAGGAATGTCACTCTCTAAAGGAGCTCTTGATGCTTATGTATGCTCAGCAAACTCTGCAATAGAAATAAAATTAAGTAAGTGTAATATAATAATTTATTTATATTATTCATAATTAAAGAAAAGATATAATTTTTATTTTGTGTTTTTAATTTTCTAATGAAAAAATAATTATTATTACGAATAAAATGCAACATTTTAAGTAAAAAGTAATTAAATTTATTTAGTTTTGTAATGACTGTGCATAAAATATTTATCTTTCATATTTTGCAAAAAGAAAAAAAAAGAAATAATTATAAATGCATTTCATATCTATTAATAAAGTACACTCTATTGCAAAAAATGCACACTCCCATAAAAGATTGACCTACAGACATGAAACTTAACATGACATGCAAAAAAATGTTTTATTAAAAATGGTGGAAACAAAAAGGTGACATTTTAGTAAGTGGTAAATTCTCTGTGGCAGCTATGCAAGCTGATATTCAGTTCACTGTAAAGCCAGTTAAGTTGCTTATGTCCCTCTGTAAAAGATTCTGTCACAAATTTTGCAACTAGTCCACTAATTCAGTGGTATTCTGAGAAGGCTGCAATTTCTGTCCCAGGCATGTTCTATTGGTTATAGGTCTGGGGAGCTGGTTGGTAATGGGAAGGCACTATTGAGAAAGTCTTGCAGTATATAGTTCAGTGTTGTCTTGTTGGTAAACCACACCTGGGTGGCTTGACAGCATAGGTAGAATAAGTGGCTGCAGAATATCATTAATGTACATGTGTGCCATCAGATTGCCTTGCAGTACAACTAGAAATCAGCTGCCCCAAGAGATAGCTCTTCACACTGTCACACCATATGTGATGACCATATACCACTTGACAACAAATGCAGGATTGGAATACTGCTCAGTCCTCCTGGCAGTCATCAGCACAGAAAGAGTTGGAATTTGTCACTAAAGACAACATGCCTTCAATCAGACACTGTTCAGGATAATTGAACTTGGCACCAATGCAGATGGCTCTGCCTATGTTGGGAGGTTAGTGGTAGGTGCCGTAATGGATGTTGACATCTAATTCCAGCTTCTGTTGCCAATCGTTTCCAAGTGGAATCCCTTCAGTGACTGATAGTGATGCCATTGGTGTGGATGTGGCTCTTCTCTTGACTGCATGATGCTCTCAAATGGCAGTTGTCTGTCTGGGACATCCTGAGTCTCTGCAATGATTACATGAACTTTTTCTGTTGCCAACACTGAGCAATTACTGTATTGTTCCAACTAAGATGGAAGCTGATACATCTGATGAACTAACCAGCTTCTCTTAGGCCTATGATGCAACCTCTCTCTAGTTCAGACAATTGTTTGTAGTGCTGTCATGTGCATCTCAAAATCATTTTTGTCACAACTTGCAGTATTAGAAGAATGCCAATGGGATGCCCATACTTAGACAATGTATATGAATAAGTTATAAGAACATTAGAACAATTTGTTCTCTTGCAGTACTTACAGCAAAAATAATTGTTTACAAATGCTACATTAATGATATATTTATTCTGTAGTGCAAAAAACCAGAAATCAACCAATTTCAGAGAGAGATAAATAACAACTAGTATGGTCTCAGATTATGATTGGAACAAGAAAAGGATAGATGCATTGTTACTAAAATATATCAAAAACAAGTACAATCTATTCTTCACACTAGCAAATTTGGTGGATCCATTCTGATTATTACACACTACTATTCAGAGTTTAAGACTGAAGCTAATCAGAACTTCCATTTTTTTACTGAAACTGGAACCAAGTATTCTTTAAAACATTGGTTCCAACTCCAACCTGTTTTTTTTTTTTGATATTAGATGTTAAATTCTTTGACTAGTCATTACGTTTTGAGTTGTTTACTTTGCAAATACAGTAGAACCTCGAAAACTCGGCTCTCGATAACCCGGCACTCCGGATAACTCGGCCACACCCTGGCAGGGCAAAAAAATCCTTAGTTAATTAATTTCATTATAGACAGCTTTATAAAAGTATAAAAGCTCTCATAAAGTATTTTTCTGAGGTCTGTCTAATCAGGTAAATTACTGTACACAGTGTATTCATTAATTTTCATTTTCATGTAGTAAAGGCTCTATGCCTTCATAAAGGAC